CACCGAGCGACTCTAAGTCCGTCGAAATTCGTGACGACCTACTCGTCATATGGATTTGCAGCCAAAACTAAGGGCCTACCTATATGGATATATCATGAATGCTTTACGTAGGATACCAAAACATTTAAAGCAACATAAATGTAAGAGACTCAAACTTTGGGCGAGAATACTTCATTTTATTAAAAATAACTTTTTACATGCTTGTTTTGGCCTTAAAGTTGTTACATTCAACATTCTATAACAAAACATGCTATAACATATAAATACAAGCTAAACCTAGCCTATGACCTAAATGCCTATACGAAAGTACACCTTTCGGCAAACTCCCAAAGCGTCCAGCGAGCTTCGTGCGAGCCTACTCTTAAGCATTGTTGCGGTCACCTACACCACAAGACATAAGGAATGAGTTAAAGCTCAGCAAGTTTAATCATGCATGAGTTTATGGAAGCATAATGTCGTGACGAAATACATTTTCCGTCTTTCGGACATGCCCTATCGAATATCCGATCGGTCCTCTTTTAAAACCTTAAAAACCATGGAATTAGACGATGTCTAGCCAAGGACCAGCCCTTGAGTATACACCGTATCATTCACAAGAGTGGCCTCTTTATGTTCAACCCTCGAGTATACATCGGATCATTCTTAAGGTTGACATTTCCATATTCATGCACATTTCTTTTCTTGCTTAAAACATGATTCATGAAATCAATGTCATGCCATGAATACATGTCTTTTAAATGCTTAAGTATCCAAATATCATCAATGCATTCAGCTAACATAAGAGTCCTAATAACCTCTACGCATTAAAGCTAATCCAAGACATGTTATAACTCATCGAAGCAATTTCGACGGAATCATACAAGCATTTTCGACGGAATCATGAAGGCCAAGCAAATTCGAGTAGAATCGTAGTTAAGTAAATTCGATAGAATCATATGCTAGGCATTTTTGGCGGAATCGAGCTAAGCCAATTCGACGGAATCATAAGTAAGCATTTTCAGCAAAATCACGGCTAAGCAAATTCGACAAAATCATAAGTAAGCATCTTTAGCGGAATACAAGCCAAGCATTTCGACGGACATTTTTGGCGGAATACAAGCCAAAGCCAAGCAATTTTGGTATAATCATAAACTAGGCAATTTCGACATAATTCAATCTAAGCTTAATGGTCGATCCTAAGTCCATATGCATTAAGTTTTAACCCTTTTATTCAACGAAACCAACACAAAGAATGATCAAAGCTCAACATATCTAGAATGCCTAAACCTAGGTCTTGTAGTGTAGTTGAGGGGATTACACTTACCCGGTCCGAAGATATGAGATTGGAAAATGCTTCAATAAACCATAATAGACTCTCCTTGGTACTTGGTTCAACTCAATTTAAAGAATGGCGAGTAACTCATAGCAGACTCCCACTCAAATTAACTCTCTTTTTCTCTTGTAGAAGTCTCAAATGGCCAAAAGAATTCAGTCATGATCTCACTCTCACTTTATATAGGAATCCATGCATGAAAGTAATGCTGGAGGGTGACACCTCCTTGGCAAGTCACCCATACAATGCATAGTGGTGACACCTGGATTCCCACTCACTAAAGGAAAAGGTAAGTCCCTCTAATTTGTTTAATTTATGTTATCAAGTCCATTAATTCAAGCACATATCATAATTAATGTATCCTTAAGTGATTTTCAAAATAAAGGGACTAATATGTCTTTATGCATAGTTGGGCTTAAAATTCGTTAACGAAAACCGAGGCCGTGACACCGGTAGTTTTCGTCGACGTAAACTAGAAGTCTGGACATCATTTTTTGTTAACAAAAAATGCCTTGTCCGAGCTTAGTCATTTCGAAAGACATATCATATAGCATATTAGTATGGCATGTCGCAGCAAAATCTAAGTTAAGCATCAAACTTGTCAACGAAAGTAGCAAGTCCGGATATAGCAGTTTCATCGACGAAGTAAGCTTATCCCGGCACAACGGTTTCGACGACAGAAACTAGCGCATTAAGACACTACTCGTTTTTTACGGCGTGTTCGGCATGTCTTGACGCAGCTGGCTTTCGACAACAATCACAAGCCTTAGCAAAATTTAAGCCTCAATCATCAAGCAAATTAATTAGACATTAAACTACACACACGCACAAGCATGTATATGAAATGTTTCAACGACCTCGGTCGTTACATACCAATTTCAGCTCCTAAGCTTTGCACTCCTCTCTTTTTCTTCTTCTTTCTTAGTGTATCTATATAACGATCAAATAGAGAGAAACACAATAATAACGTTTTTCTCTTTCGATATAAGTACAAGCATAAAGATTTGAAAAGAAAAATTATCTATTGGGTTAAAGCTAGATATCCATCAAACTACTTATGCTAGTGGATTTGAATCAAATATCTTTCCTTCAATTCACTTAATTTCTTTTTTAATAGTTCTAAAAAAATTTTCAATCGGTATTAATTATCAAATTTCTTCTAATTAAAGTAGGGGCAATTATGAGCAACACCTAACACGAAATAATGTGGCTTTGAAAGAGAAGGAAAGAAAATCCAATAAGTATATGGTATCGAATAAGAAGGTGAAGGTTCATTATATAATCCATCGAATTTGGCCTATAAAATCAAACAAACATTTCAATAAAAATTTAGTAGTGTTGCTTTGAAAAATGGAGACGATCAATGAAGAAGAAGATAGAGATGGTTGTGATGATGATGAGGGATTTTCGGAGAGATTTTGATCTATCATCTCCTATAGTTTACACTCCTCTCTTTTTTCTTCTTCTTTGTTAGTGTATATATATAACGATAAAATAGCAAGAAACACAACTATAAGTTTTTTTTCCTTTTCTATGATAAGTACAACCATAAAGATTTGGAAGGAAAATTGACTATTGGGTGATAGATAGACATTCATCAAATTTTTCGTACCTGTGGATTTGAATCAAATCTCTTTATTTCAATTCACTTATTTTTTTCTAACAATTCCAACAAAATTTTCAATTGACATTAATTATCAAATTTCTTCTAATTAAAGTAGGGGCAATTATTAGGAACACCTAGCACCAATTAATGTGGCTTTGAATGAGAAGGTAGGGAGATCCACTAAGTATGTTGTATCGAATAAGAAAGTGAAGCTACCTTATATAATCCATCGAATCCGGCCTAAAAAATCTAACAAACACTTCAACCATAAATCAAAACCCCGATAAGTGGTACTCGCCTTTGAAAAATTTAGTAGTGCTTGCTTTGAAAATTGGAGAGAGTCCATTGAGAAGAAGATAGAGGTGGTGGTGATGATGATGATGATGAGGAATTTTCAAAAGTGATTTTCATCTATCATGTTAGAGATATACCAAGTCGAGCTCTTAAGATTTGTACTATTCTCTTTTTCTTCTTCTTTGTTAGTGTATATATATAATGATCAAATAGCAAAAAAGACAACAATAAGAGAGAAAGAAGAGAGAGATGCTCTTCTTCAACTTTTGTCGGCTCCAACATTGACCTTTACGCCCTGTAACCTTCTCGCCCCTCTCCAGCCTTCTCCCTCCCCCTCTCTCATTCATCGCTCACATTCCCCTCTCTCTCCTTCCGTTTCCCCCCGCTTTCCTCCATAGTTTCTCTCTCCTCGTTCCTTTCCCCTTTCTTCTCCCTTTTCTTTTTCCCCGACTTTGTGTCTCTCTCCCTTCTTCTTCTCGGGCTATGGCAAAAAGAAGAAGAAATCAACATCTAAGATGAAAGAACCACCAACTCGAACCAGTCATTGCTCCGTCGTTTCGATTAATCCCCCTAGGCCTTCGATTTTAGACACTACTCCCCGCCTCAAATCCGCCACTTTTGTGGTCGTTGGGTCCAGACTCGGTTGCCAAATCTACTCCACTTATGAATGTGGTTGTAAAAGATGACTCTAGTGTAGAAGATTATGGGTTTGATGAAGAGGAATCGGATTCGGAGGAGGAAGAAAGCTCTGCAGATTCGAGTTGAATGAAAATTTGGTTTCCCGCCCAAAATTTTCAAAATCCAAAATTTCGGATTTGAGTGAAAATTTGGGTTCCCGTCGAAAATTTCAACCTCCAACTTTCCCGCCCAAGTGTGCTCGAGCCAAACACTCCCACTCGCTCATCTTCGACCCCTTCCTTTCGGCATGATGGACCTATCATTGACAATGTGAGTAGCAGAGGGTCACGCGACGCTACTTCCTCTCCAACAAGGTTGGCCGGACCTCCATCCGAGTCCGCCTAAACCCTCAAACTACGATTGGCTCGAGTACCTCTTAGCTCCCTAACGCCAAATGGTGTGACTTGTTTGCTACTAATCGTAATGCTCGCATTGTGCCCTAAGCTCACTCATTTTACTCGCTATAACCGAAAGTAAAACCTATGTCTTGCTTATCGATGACCCAACATGTGGTATGTGAAAATGTTATTTAATTGGGTATGTTGTTGAAAAATCTCTAGGTTTTCGAGCCCTCAATGGAATTATTGATAGTACATGCAAATGCAAAGCTAATCTCTCTATTCATGACTCGGTTTGGCTTATTTATAAGTTTGCTTCGAAACGAATAAGTTATCGATGCTGAACGGTGGTCCATACTTGATTTTTGGCTCAACCTTGTTGCTTAGGCCAATGCCCGAGTGCTTTGACTTTTCGAACAAGGAGATGTCGTTGGTGTTGATTTGGGTGAAGTTTCCTAATCTCCCCTTACTTATCGGTCTCCCTTATGTCTTTCGAAAGTTGTAAGCTTGTTGGGTAAACCTATCTAGTGTGATCGACTCACAGCCTCTATGAAACGGATTTCCTATGCTAGGGTTTTGGTGGAACTCAACATCATGGGGGAGCCGTCGAAAATCATCAACATTGGGTCGGCTAATGGTTCCACCCTTCTCCAACGGGTTGTTTATGAAACCTTACCTATGCATTGCAAGACTTATCTAATTTTGGGACATTCTACTACCTCTTTTGGGAGGCAAACTCTAGTGATTAGTTCGAGCAAGATTATCGACGTTAATGAGGCTACGCGCCGCCCCTTTGCTTGGATTACTCGTTGCTAACGGGGTGGGCTCGGTTGTGCTCGCTAGTCATGCTAGCGTTACATCGGAGGCTACTCGGATTGACCTTATGGTTTTTGAGGCGAGAGGCGGCTTCGGGGGAGTGGGTAACGATTACTTGGAAGAGCCAACGCAAAATCCCACTGTAGTCATAAGCATCGGTATCATCCACTTTCGCCTTCTCGGTCGGGCGGCCTACTCATGTGCGGTGCTCGAGTATCTTAGTCAAGTATAAGCCTCCAAGCTCGCTGCTCGGACGGATAAGGGTAAGGTAGTTGAGGAAGGTCCTTCCATTTTGGAGCTTTGCTCGAGGCGGGATGACCACATGGCTACTGCCGGTGCACTATTAATAAGCCTCGATGGCCCGGCCGAGCCTAAGGATAGGGAGGCGGGCCTTCATCGCCGAGATGGCTTGCGAGGCTCAACACCGGTTGAAGAGGATTCGGGTGCCAATGCGGTGGCTCGGTCGGATTTGGCGGTTTCGGTTCGTCCGTAACACCACGGGCAGTAGGGCTTACTATGCATGCCCAAGAGTTGCCGGAGCAACGGAAGATCCGGAGGTCCAAACGAAGTGCTAAGAGGTTACCGACCTCATCGACTGTTCCATGATTATTCTATGTTAGAATGTTAGGGGCCTCAATAGTCCTCTAAAACAACATGAGGTTACAAGCCTCATGAGAAAGAAAAAGCTAGATGTTTGTGCTTTGGTTGAGACCAAGCTCGATCTCGCTAAGCTAGCTCGATTGCACAAGTTTCGACTCAAGTGGTCGCGGGTTACCTCCAATGCCTTCAAAGCCCGGATTGTCCTCTTTAGGAACCCGGATACGGTGTTGATTGTTCCTCTTAATGTTACCGCCTAAGGGCTGCATGTCCGCATTCGGAGCTTTATTAACCGATCGCTATTCCATGTCGCTTTTGTTTATGGATTTAATATAATCACTCAACGAAGGGTGCTTTGGAAGGACCTTCATAAATGGAATCCCCAAAGTCGGTGGCTTGTGCTTGGGGACTTCAACTTCATCCTCTCATCGGAAGATAAGCACAATGGTATGGTAGGGTCTACTTATGAGATATCGAACTTTCACTCATGCTTGTTTGGATCTTGGCCTTAGGGACCTCATGTATACGGGCAACTAATTTACTTGGAATAGTGAGAATGTCCGGACTAAATTTGATAATCCTAGCCAACCCCCTATGGCCCATATCTTCTCTTTTAGTTTTTGTCCATTTCGAGTCGTCGGATGGTTTCTCCGATCATGCTCGAGCTTGGATTCGGATAGATAGCGAGCCTCTCCTCGATCGGAAGCCTTTAAAGTTTTTCAACATGTGGGCTCACTATGACATCTTTCTTCATCTCGGTTGATCGTTATTGATTCCGTGGCACAAGGGGCTTTTGAGGGAATATAACAAGCTCCACTATAGCCACATTTCGAACGAGTGACCGAAGCGGTCGTTGATCTTGACCACCTTCGGCGGGCCTTACGATCGGACATGGATAACGGTAGCCTTTTAGAGCGGGAGAGGCACCGGAGGCTAACTTTGGTCAACCTCAAGTCCGTTGAAAAAATGTTTTTCAACCAAAAGATAAAATATAAGTACCTAGAAGAGAGTGACAAGGCCGATCGATTTTACCATTACCTTATAAACCAAAATCATAAAAGAAACTTTATTGCTGCAATAGAGGACACTAAGGGGCAACCTACCACTTCTCTTTCTACAATGGGTCATATTTTTGTTGGCTACTATCGCATCTGCTGGGTACTCGCCCGGCCACCACTCCCCTTGATAGTGATGTTATTTCCAACGGGCCTTGCCTTGATTCAGTTCTCACGACTTCCTCCTAGCGTCGGTTTCCAATGAGTCGATCCATGAGACTTTGTTGGGGATTGACAATGACAAAGCCCCCGGTCCGGACGAGTACTCTCTCTCTTTTTTAAGCAAGCTCGGGATATTGTGAGGGCCGACTTCGTGCTGCTGTGAAAGACTTCTTTCTTTGGAGCGTCCGCTTAAATAAGTCAACCATTATGTTATTGCCCTCATTCCTAAGTTCGCTAATGCCTATTCTCCCGCGGATTATAGGCATATCTTGTGTTGTAATATTGTGTACAAGGTGATCTTAAAAATCCTCTCTTCTTGGTTAGCGAGAGCTTTGGTTTAAGTTATTAGTCCCATACGAATGCTTTCTTAGGTGGAAGGAAAATGTCGAACAATATCCATCTTCTCCAAGAATTGCTTCGTCAATATCGCCACAAGTGCGCCTCGCCGCAATGCATTTTAAAAGTGGACTTCAAGAAAGCTTTTGATTCGAGTGGAATGACCTTTTCTCGAGCCCTTCTCTTGCAGCTTGACTTTTCGGCTGCCTTTGTCCACTTGGTCATGGTTTGTGTGAAATCTCCCTCCTACTCTGTTTCGGTGAATGGCAACCTTTTTGGCTTCTTCCAAGGCAAAGGTGGGCTTCGGCAGGGGACCCTCTCTTCCCCTACCTTTTCATAACGTGCATGGAATACTTCTTCGTATGCTTCGGATTGCTTTTACCGGGGCTAACTTCAAATTTCACCCGCAAGTGTGAGTTCCAAAAAATTAGTCACCTTATGTTTATGGATGATATTATACTCGGTTTGCCGAGGTGGACAAGCCTTTCGTTCGGTGCCTATCGCACTAGTTACACACATTTGGTAATACCTTTGGCTTGATTATAAAGTCGACCAAATCGTCAATCTATTTTAGAGGTATTGGTAGCAACTTGAAGCGGTGCTCTACTTCGGGATATTGGGTTTGCGGAAGGCACCTTTCCCTTTCGATACCTTGGGGTTCTACTTAGTTCCCACTCGTCTACTAGCCGCCAAGTTCTCTCCTTTTTTAGAGCTTGGAATCGACAGTCCAATCATGGATAGGGAAGCACCTATCTTACGCCGGTTGGCTGGAATAGGCATTAATTGTCAAATTTGTTCTAATTAAAGTAAGAAAAATTATTAGCAACACTTAACACCAATTAATGTGGCTTTGATCGAGAAGGTAAGAAAATCCAATAAGCAAGTCGTATCGAATAAGAAGGTGAAGCTACCCAATGTAGTCCATCAAATCTAGCCTATAAAATCGACTAAACACTTTAACAAAAATCATAACCCTAATTAGTGGTGCTCCCTTTGAAAAAATTTAGTAGTGCAACTTTGAAAAATGGAGAGAGTCCATGAAGAAGAAGATGTAGGTGGTGGTGATGATGACGAAGGATTTTGAGAGAGATTTTTATCTATCATGTTAGAGATATAACAAGTCGAGCTCCTAACGTTTGCACTCCTCTTTTTTTTTTTCTTCTTTGCTAGTGTATATATATAATGATGAAATATCAAGAAACACAACAATAAGCTTTTTTCCTTTTTCGAGATAAGTGCAACCATAAAGATTTGGAAGGAAAAATTATCTATTAGGTGATAGATATGCATCCATCAAATTTTCCGTACCATTGGATTTGAATCAAATCTCTTTCTTTCAATTCACTTAATATTTTTTTAACAATTCCAATAAAATTTTAAATCGACATTAATTATCAAATTTCTTCTAATTAAAGTAAGGGCAATTATAAGCAACACCTAACACCAATTAATGTGGCTATCGAATGAGAAGGTCGAAAATCAAATAAGCATGTTGTATCGAATAAGAAGGTGAAGCTACCCTATATAATCGATCGAATCCGGCCTAAAAGATCCACCAAACACTTTAAGAAAAATCACAACCTTGATAAGTGGTGTCTGTCTTTGAAAAATTTAGTAGTGTTACTTCGAAAAGTGGAGAGAGTCCATGAAGAAGAAGATGGAGGTGGTGGTGGTGATGATGAAGGATTTTGAGAGCGATTTTCACTTATCATGTTGGAGATATAACAAGTCGAGCTCCTAACGTTTGCACTCCTTTTTTTTTCCTTCTTCTTTGCTAGTGTATATATATAACAATGAAATAGCAAGAAACACAACAATAAGCGTTTTTGCTTTTTTAAGATAAGTACAACCATAAAGATTTAGATGGGAAAATTATCTATTCGGCGAAAGATAGACATCCATCAAATTTTCTATACCAGTGGTTTCGAATCAAATCTCTTTCTTTCAATTCACTTAATTTCTTTTCGAATAATTCCAACAAAAATTTCAATAGGCATTAATTATCAAATGTCTTCTAATTAAAGTAGGGACAATTATTAGTGACGCCAATTATTATGGCTTTGAATGAGAAGGTAAGAAAATCCAATAAGCGAGGTTGTATCGAATAAGAAGGTGAAGCTACCGAATATAATCCATCAAATATGGCTTATAAAATCAAACAAACAATTCAACAAAAATCAGAACCCTAATTAGTGGTATTGCTTTTGAAAAATTTAGTAATGCTACTTTGAAAAATGGAAAGAGTCCATGAACTAGAAGATGGAGGTGGTGGTGATGATGATGAGGGATTTTTCGAGCGATTTTCATCTACAATGTTGGAGATATGCTAAGTCGAGCTCCTAAGGTTATCACTTTTATCTTTTTTGTTCTTCTTTGTTAATGTATACATATAACGTCGAAATAGCATGAAACACAACGATAATGTTTTTTCCTTTTCCGAGATAAGTACAACTATAAAGATTTGGAAGGGTAAATTATCTATTGAGCGAAAGGTAGACATCTATCAAATTTTTTATTCTAGTAGATTTGAATCAAATGTCTTTCTTTCAATTCATTTAATTTCTTTTTGAATAATTCCAACAAAATTTTAAATAGACTTTAATTATCAAATTTCTCCTAATTAAAGACAGGAGAATTATTAGCAACACCTAACACCAATTAATGTGGCTTTGAATGAGAAGGTAAGAAAATCTAATAAGAAGGTTGTATCGAATAAGAAGGTGAAGCTACCCTATGTAATCCATCGAATCCGGCCTATAAAATCAACCAAACACTTCAACCAAAATCACAACCTTAATTAGTGGTGTTGCCATTGAAAAATTTAACGATGTTGCTTTGAAAAATGGAGAGTCCATGAAGAAAAAGATGGAGGTGGTGGTGATGATGAGGAGGGATTTTCAAAGCGATTTTCATCTATCATATTAGAGATATAATGTAACACCCCGATCCCCGAGAGGGAGGCTAGAGCGCTATGACGGCGTTGAACATCATGGAGCGCCGGGTGAAGCCGCAGCCGCACACGACTAGCGAGGGCCGGGTGGCCCAAGGCCACGTCCGGCGCTCGTTGAATGCGCATCGATGCCCTATAACCTTAAATTATACGTGGCACATGCAATGCACAACGGAAGACATTTGGCTCAAAAGCTTACTTAAAAACTCAATTCGTGTCCGAAACTTTTTTGTCAACGCAAAAGTTACGTTGCAGCTCAAAATTTTATTAACGCAAAATTGCACCGTGCAGCTGCGTCACGGCGGCACTAAGTCCGTCGAAATTCGTGATAGCCTACTCGTCATACGGATTCACGAGTGGAAACTAAGGGCCTACCTATATGGATATATCAAGAATGCTTTACGTGGGATACTAAAACATTTAAAGCAACAAAAACGTAAGAGACTCAAACTTTGGGTAGAATACTTCATTTTATTTAAAATAACTTTTTAATGCTTGTCTTGGCCTTAAGGTCGTTACATTCAACATTTTATAAAAAAAACATGCTATAACATATAAATATAAGCTAAACCTAGCCTATGACCTAAATGCCTAGACGAAAGTACACCTTTCGACAAAATCCCAAAAGCGTCCGAGCAGCTTCGTGCCGACTTACTCGCAAGCATTGTTGCGGTCACCTACACCACGAAGACATAAGGAATGAGCTAAAGCTCAGCAAGTGTAATCATGCATGAGTTTATGAAAGCATAATGTCGTGACGAAATACATTTTCCGTCTTTCGGACATGCCCTACCGAATATCCGATCGGCCCTCTTTTAAAACCTTGAAAACCATGGAATTAGACGATGTCTAGCCGAGGACCGACCCTCGAGTATACACCGGATCATTCCCAAAGGTGGCCTCTCTATGTTCAACCCTTGAGTATACACCGGATCATTCTTAAGGTTGACATTTCCATATTTATGCACATTTCTTTTCTTGCTTAAAACATGAGTCATGAAAGCAATGCCATGCCATGAATACATGTCTTTTAAATGCTTAAGTATCCAAATATCGTCAATGCATTCAGCTAACATAAGAGTCCTAATAACCTTTATGCATTAAAGCTAATCCAAGACATATTATAACTCATCAAAGCAATTTCGTCGGAATCATACAAGCATTTTCGACGGAATCATGAAGGCCAAGCAAATTCAGCGAGAATCGCAGTTAAGTAAATTCGACAAAATCATAAGCTAGGCATTTTCGACGGAATCGAGCTAAGCAAATTCGGCGAGAATCATAAGCATTTTTGGTAGAATCACAGCTAAGCAAATTTGGCGAGAATCATAAGTAAGCATTTTCGATAAAATAAAGCCAATCATTTCGGTAAAATCATAATTAAGCATTTTCAACGCAGTACAAGCTAAGCTTTTCGACGAAATTTTTGGCAGAATACAAGCCAAAGCCAAGCAATTTTGGTAGAATCATAAACTAGGCAATTTTGACATAATTCAATCTAAGCTTAATGGTCGATCCTAAGTCCATATACATTAAGTTTTAACCCTTTTATTTAGCAAACCAACACAACAACGAGTCAAAGCTCAATATATCTAGAATGCCTAAACCTAGGTCTTGTAGTGTAGTTGAGGGGGATTACACTTACCTGTTCGAAGATATTAGATTGGAAAATGCTTCAATAAACCAAAATAGACCCTCCTTGGCACTTGGTTCGACTCAATTTCAAGAATGGTAGCAACTCCCTAAGTTACAGCAGCTCCCACTCAAATTAACTCTCCATTTTCTCTTGTAGAAGTCTCAAATGGCCAAAAGAATCCATTCATGGCCTCACTCTCCCTTTATATAGGGCAGCCATGCATGAAAGTAATGCTTGGAGGGTGACACCTCCTTGGCCAAGTCACCCATGCAATGTATGGTGGTGACACCTGGATTCCCACTCACTAAAGGAAAAGGTAAGTTCCTCTAATTTGTTTAATTTATGTTATCAAGTCCCTTAATTCAAGCATAGATCATAATTAATGTATCCTTAAGTGATTTTCAAAATAAAGGGACTAATATGTTTTTATGCATGGTTGGGCTTAAAATTCATCAACGAAAACCGAGGCCACAACGGTGATAGTTTTCGTCGACGTAAATCGGAAGTCCGGACAACATTTTTCGTCAATGAAAAATGCCTTGTCCGGAGTTAGTCATTTACGCGGACATATCATATAGCATACTAGCATGACATTTCGTAGCAAAATCTAAGTTAAGCATTAAACTCATCAACGAAAGTAACAAGTTTGGACATAGCATTTTTGTCGACGAAATAAGCTTATCCTAGCGCAACGGTTTCGACAAAGAAGCCGGCGCGTTGAGACACTCGTTGTTTTCGACGACAGAATCGGCATGTCTTGACGCAGCTGGCTTTCGACAAGCAATCACAAGCATTAGCAAAATTTAAGCCTCAATCATCAAGCAAATTAATTAGAAATTAAGCTACACACACACAAAGCATCCATATGAAATGTTTAAACGACCTCGGTCCTTACATACAAATTTAAGCTCCTTAGCTTTGCATTCCTCTCTTTTTTCTTTTTCTTTCTTAGTGTATATATATAACGATCAAATAGAGAGAAACACAACAATAAGTTTTTTTTCTCTTTACGAGATAAGTACAACCATAAAGATTTGGAAAGAAAAATTATCTATTAGGTTAAAGATAGACATCCATCAAACTCGTTTGTGCTAGTGGATTTGAATCAAATATCCTTGTTTCAATTCACTTAATTTCTTTTTTAATAGTTCCAATAAAATTTTCAATCGACATTAATTATAAAATTTCTTCTAATTAAAGTAGGAGCAATTACGAGTAACACCTAGCACGAATTAATGTGGCTTTGAATGAGAAGGAAAGAAAATCCAATAAGTATGTGGTATGGAATAAAAACGTGAAGGTTCGTTATATAATCCATCGAATTTGAACTATAAAATCAAACAAACTTTTCAATAAAAATTTAGCAGATGTTGCTTTGAAAAATGGAGACGATCAATGAAGAAGAAGATGGAGATGGTGGTGATGATGATGAGGGATTTTCGAGAGAGATTTTGATCTATCATGTTGGAGATGTACCAAGTCAAGCTCCTATGGTTTGCACTCCTTTATTTTTTCTTCTTCTTTGTTAGTGTATATATATAACGATAAAATAGCAAAAAACACAACAATAAGTTTTTTTTCCTTTTCTATGATAAGTACGAGTCATAAAGATTTGGAATGAAAAATTGGCTATTGGGTGATAGATAGACATCCATCAAAATTTTTATACCTGTGGATTTGAATCAAATCTCTTTTAATTAAAGTAAGTACAGTCATAAAGATTTGGAATGAAAAATTGGCTATTAGGTGATAGATAGACATCCATCAAAATTTTTATACCTATGGATTTGAATTAAATCTCTTTCTTTTAATTCACTTAATATTTTTCTAACAATTCCAACAAAATTTTCAATTGACATTAATTATCAAATTTCTTCTAATTAAAGTAAGTATAGTCATAAAGATTTGGAATGAAAAAATAGCTATTAGGTGATAGATAGACATCCATCAAAATTTTTATACCTGTGGATTTGAATCAAATCTCTTTCTTTCAATTCACTTAATTTTTTTTTAACAATTCCAACAAAATTTTCAATTGACATTAATTATCAAATTTCTTCTAATTAAAGTAAGTACAGTCATAAAGATTTGGAATGAAAAATTGGCTATTAGGTGATAGATAGACATCCATCAAAATTTTTATACTCGTGGATTTGAATCAAATCTCTTTCTTTCAATTCACTTAATATTTTTTTAACAATTCCAACAAAATTTTCAATTGACATTAATTATCAAATTTCTTCTAATTAAAGTAAGCACAGTCATAAAGATTTGGAATGAAAAATTGGCTATTAGGTGATAGATAGACATCCATCAAAATTTTTATACCGGTGGATTTGAATCAAATCTCTTTCTTTCAATTCACTTAATATTTTTTTAACAATTCCAACAAAATTTTCAATTGACATTAATTATCAAATTTCTTCTAATTAAAGTAAGGGAAATTATTAGAAACACCTAGCACCAATTAATGTGGCTTTGAATGAGAAGGTAGGGAGATCCACTAAGCATGTTGTATCGAATAAGAAGGTGAAGCTACCTTTTATAATCCACCGAATCGGCCTATAAAATCCAACAAACACTTCAACCAAAATCATAACCTTGATAAGTGGTGTTGCCTTTGAAACATTTAGTAGTGCTTCTTTGAAAAATGGAGAGACTCCATTGAGAAGAAGATGGAGGTGGCGGTGATGATAATGAGGAATTTTCGAGTGATTTTCATCTATCATTTGGAGATATACAAAGTTGAGCTCCCAAGGTTTGTACTCTTCTCTTTTTTCCTCTTCTTTGTTAGTGTATATATATAACGATGAAATAGCAAGAAAGACAACAATAAGAGAGAGAAAGAAGAGAGAGATGCTCTCTTTCTATAGAGATCTTTCCTCCGAGCTTTGGTCGACGCTAACGCCGACCTTTACGCCTTGTAACCTTCTCGTCGCCTCTCCGGCCTTCCTCCTCCCCCTCTCTCATTACTCGCTCACATTCCCCTCTCTCTCCTTCTGTTTCCCCATCGCCTTCCTTTTTGGTTTCTCCCTCCTCGTTTCTTTCCCTTTCCTTCTCCCTTTTCTCTTTCCCCGACTTTGTCTCTCTACCTTCTCCTTCTCGGGCCATGGTTAAAAAGAAGAAGAAATCAATATCTAAGATGAAATAACCACCAACTCGAACCGATCATTGCTCCGGCTATTTCGATTAAACCCCCCGAGCCCTCCGATTTTAGGCACTCGCTCCCCGCCTCAAATCCGGCACTTCTATGATCGTTGGGTCCAGACTTAGTTGCGAAATCTACTCCACTTGTGAATGTGGTCGTAGAAGATGACTCTAGTGTAGAAGATTCAAGGTTTGATGAAGAGGAATCGATTAGAGGAGAAAGAAAGCTCTACAGATTTAGATTTGAATGAAAATTTGGTTTCTTGCCCAAAATTCTCAAAATCCAAAATTTCGCATTTAAGTGAAAATTTGGGTTCCCGTAAAAATTTCAACCTCCAACTTTCTCGCCCAAGTGGCCGCCGAGCCAAACACTCCCACTCGCTCATCTTCGACCCCTTCTTTTCGAGCATGATGGACCTATCACCGACGAGTGTGACTAGTAGAGGGTCGGGCGATGCCGCTTCCTCTCCATCGGGCTTGGTCGGACCTTCATCCGAGTCCGCCCTAACCCTCAAACTTCGACTAGCTCGGTACCTCTCGGCTCCCTAACGCCAAATGGCATGACTCGTTTGCTATTAATCGTAATGCTGCATTGTGCCCTAAGCTCACTCATTTTACTACCATAACCGAAAGTAAAACTCGTCTTGCTTGTCGATGATCGGACATGTGATATATGAAAATATTGTTTAATTGGGTATGTTGCTGAGAAATCTCCGGGTTTTCGAGTCCTCAATTGAATTATTTATAGTACATGAAAATACAAAGCTACTATTTCTATTCATGACTCGATTGGCTTATTTATAAGGTTACTTTCGAAACGGATAAGTTATCGATGCTCGAACGATGATCCATACTTGATTTTTGGCCGACCCTCGTTGCTTAGGCCAATGCCTCGAGTTCTTTGACTTTTCGAAGGAGATGTCGTTGGTGTCGATTTGGGTGAAGTTTCCCAATCTCCCCTTAGCCATTGGTCTCCCTTGTGTCTTTCGAAAGTTATAAGCTCGCTAGGTAAACCTATCTAGTGTGATCGATTTACGGTCTCTATGGAACGAATTTCCTACGCTAGGGTTTTGGTGGAACTCAACATTATGGAGGTACTATCAAAAATCGTCAACATTGGGATGGCTAATGGTTCCACCCTTCTCTAGTAGGTTATTTATGAAACCTTACCTATTCATTACATGACTTGTCGGGTTTTGGGACATTCTCATCGTCTCTTGTGGGAGGCAAACTCCAGCGATTAATTCGGGTAAGGTTATCGATGTTAATAAGGATGCACGCCACCTCCCAGCTCGGATTACTATTGCTAACAGGGTGGGCTCGACCGTGCCTAGCCAACGTAAAATCCCGCTGTAGTTGCAATCATCAATCGTAACCGTTTTTACCTTCTCGGTCGGGGTAGCCTACTCATGTACAGTGCTCGGTATCTTAGTTAAGTATAAACCTCCAAACTATCGCTCGGACGGATAAGTGGTAAGGCAGCTGAGGCAAGTCCTTCCAGTTTGGAGCTTTGCTCAAAGTAGGGTGACCACACGACCACTACCGGTGCACTATTAGTAAGCCTCGACGACCCGGCCGAGCCTAAGGATAGGGAGGCAGGCCTTCATCGCCAAGATGGCTTGTGAGTCTTAGCACCGATTGAAGAGGATCCGGGTGCCAATGTAGGGGCTCGTCGGATTTGGCGGCTTCGGCTTCGCCCGCAAGCACTACGGGTAGTAGGCCCTATCGTGTATGCCCAAGAGTTACTAGAGCGATGAAAGATCAAGAAGTCCAAATGAAGTGCTAAAGGGTTACCGACCTCCTCGATTGTTCCATGATTATTCTTTGTTGGAATGTTAGGGGCCTCAATAATCCCTTAAAACAACATGAGGTTACGGGCCTCATGAGAAAGAAAAATTAGATGTTTACGCTTTGGTCGAGACCAAGCTCGACCTCGCTAAACTAGCTCGCCCGCACAAGTTTCGACTCAAGTGATGGCGGGTTGTCTCCAATGCCTCCGATGCCTCTAAAGCTCGGATTATCCTCTTTTGGAACCCATATATAGTGTTGATTGATCCTTTTGATGTTACCGCCCAAGGGTTGCATGTCCGCATTCAAAGCCTTGTTAACCGGTCGTTATTCCATGCCACTTTTATATATGGCTTTAATACAATCACTCAACGAAGGGCGCTTTGGGAGGACCTTCGTAAATGGAATCCCCAAAGTCACTAGCTTGTGCTTGGGGACTTTAACTCCATCGTCTCGCTAGAAGATAAGCACAATGGTGCGGCGAGGTCTATCTATGAGACATCGAACTTCCGTTCATGCTCGCTTAGATCTTGGCCTTAAGGACCTTATGTATACCGGAAACCAATTTACTTGGAACAGGTGAGAATGTTTGGACTAAAATTAACGCAGTCCTAGCCAACCCCCTATGGCCCATGTCTTCTCTCTTAGTTTCGTCCATTTCATTTCGTTGGGTGGCTTCTCCGATCATACTTAAGCTTGGGTTCAAATAAATAGCGAGCATCCCTCCAGCTTGGAAGCCTTTAAAGTTTTTCAACATGTGGGCTCACCATGATGACTTTCTTCAACCGGTTGATCGTCATTGGTTCCGTGACACCGAGGGCGCTCCTATGTTTATTTTATGCCAAAACCGAAGGCTCTCAAGGAGCCTTTGAGGAATCTTAACAAGCTCCACTATAGCCACATTTCTAAGCGAGTGGCCACAGCGGTTGTTGATCTTGACCACCTTCGGCAAGCCTTACAATCATACATGGATAACAGTAGCCTTCTAGAGCAAGATTGGCGCCGGAGGCTAACTTTGGTCAACCTCAAGTCCGCTCGAAAAAATGTTTTTCAACTAAAAGCTAAAATACAAGTACCTAGAAGAAAGTGACAAGGCCAGTCGGTTTTATCATTCTCTCATGAACCAAAATCACAAGAGAAACTTCATTACCGTAATAGAGGACACTAAAGGGCAACTTACCACTTCTCTTTCAGTAGTGGGTCACATTTTTATCGACTACTATCGCATCCGTCGGGTACTACCCGGCCACCACTCCCTTTGATAATGATGTTATTTCCAGCAGGTCTCGCCTTGATTCTAGTTCCGACGACTTCCTCTTAGCCTCGGTTTTCAGTGAGTCGATCCACGAGACTCTATTTGGGATTGACAATGACAAAGCCCTAGGTCCGGATGGGTACTCGTCTCTCTTTTGTAAGCAAGCCCGGGATATTGTGAGGGCTAACTTCTATACTCGCTATGAAAGACTTCTTTTCTTTGGTGCGTTTACTTAAATAGGTCAAACATTCTATTATTGCCCTCATTCCTAAGTTTGCTAATGCCTCTTCTCTTTCGGATTATAGGTCTATCTCGTGTTGTAATGTTATGTACAAGGTGATCTTGAAAATCATCTCTTCTAGGTTAGCGAGAGCTTTGGTTGAAGTTATCGATCCCATGCAAAATGCTTTCTTGGGTGGAAGGAAAATGTTGGATAATATCCATCTTCTCCGAGAATTGCTTCGTCAATATGGCCACAAGCACGCCTCATCACAATGCATTTTGAAGGTGGACTTCAAGAAAGCTTTTGATCCAAGGTGCAATGGCCTTTTCTCCGAGCCCTTCTCTTGCAGCTTGGCTTCCCGACTACCTTTGTCCACTTGGTCATGGTTTGTATGGAATCTCCCTCTTACTCGTTTCGGTGAATGACAACCCGTTTGGCTTCTTCCAAGGCAAAGATGGGCTTCGGCAAAGGGACCCTCTCTCCCCTACCTCTTCATAACGAGCATGGAATACTTCTCCCGCATAGTTTAGATTGCTTCGCCATGGCTGATTTCGCATTTCTCCTGCAGTGTGAGTTCTAAAAAATTAGTCACCTTGCGTTTACGGATGATATTATACTATTTTTTCGAGGTGACAGACCCTCCTTTCGATGCCTATCGCACCAGCTTACACACATTTGGCAATACCTCCGGCCCGACTATAAACTTGACCAAATCGTCAATCTCTTTTGGAGGCATTGGCAGCAATTTGAAGCAAGCTCTACTTCGGGATACCGGGTTTGCAAAAGGCACATTTCCTTTTCGATACCTTGGGGTTCCACTTAGTCCCCACCGTCTACTAGCCATTCAATTCTCTTCACTTTTGCAAAGATTGGAATTGGCAGTCCAATCATGGATAGGGAAGCACCTATCTTACGCTAGTCGGTTGGAACTTTTGCGTTCGATGCTAACGAGCATCGCTCGCTCCGGTTGGCCATCTTTTCCTTTCCTGCAGGTGGTTCTTTCCCGCATCACCAGCATTTGTCGAAACTTCCTTTGGATCGGGGATATAAAAAAAAGCCATTCCGCCCGGTAGCTTGGAAAGAGCCGTGTTACCCAAAAGAGAAAGGGGTTCTAGCACTCGGCATTTGCCCACCCTCAATCGGTGCTTCCTCGCTGCTAGCGTTGTGGGATGTCCATCTAAAAATGGACTCGGTTTGAATCCAATGGGTTCATCATTTCTACTTGAGGGACCATATGGTCCGGACTCCGCCTAGTGTGCATGACTCGCCTCCCCCATGTGGAAGGCGATTCTCTCAACTCGTGACCAGCTTAAATTGACAAATTTAGGGCTAGCACTACGATGGAGGAAAAAATTAAAACTTGGGGCCAAGCCAAATTCATCCGCAATGCTTATTAGGATCTTCACCAAATAGGTACATTGGTTAATTGGAACAAGGGAGTTTAGGAATAGTGAGCTCTACCGAGGGATGCTTTTGTTCTCCGGTCTGGCGATTAAAGGGAAGCTCAAAACTACGGATCACCTTCGTTTTATTTCGAATGATGTCAAATGTGCCCTCCGTCGGATAACCCCCAAATCTCATAGCCACTCGTTCTTTGAGTGTGCCCGGACAACAAGCCTATGGACTCCGGTTAACCACCGGTCGCGAATCCGGAGAAATATGTCCACCCTACTAAGCGCCATTCGAGGCCTTTCTCTTCGAAGGAATAATTTGGAAGCAAGAATGCGTCGAGTCTTACCGAGCATTACGGTTTACCTTATTTGGAAAGAAAGGAACAAGAGAGTCTTCGATAGCACTCCCTCCCTAATCGATCGACTATTTTAGAAGTTTTAGGTTCTTTTCTTCATGATCTTTCATTTTCACGAGAAGGATCATAATGTCCCGCATGTTGGTTGAAAGCTCCCACTTCTACCGCCCTAATCCCGGGCTTGGTTGTTACCTCGCTTAGTCGAGTTCGCCTCGTTTCGTTATATCTATTTGGTCTTATTAGCGAAAGTTTTTGTATGCTCGTTGAGCCTTTTTACATGGTTCTAGTTAGCTAGTTCATGATCACAGCTTGGTTTTCCCGGAATCTCATATGTTAGATTCCTTGAACACCCACTAGTTCTAGCTCTTTTCTTAGTTCTTTGGGAGCTTGTTCCCATCTTTTTTGTACATCCCGTATATGTTACTCTTGTTGGTTCTCCAATCTCGTTACATTTTGATTTATATACTTACATTTAAATAAATAAAAAAGACAACAATAAGTTTTTTTTCCCTTTCCGAGATAAGTACAACCATAAAGATTTGAAAGAAAAAATTATCTATGAGGTTAAAGATAGACATCCATTAAATTTTCTATGCCAATGGATTTGAGTCAAATGTCTTTCTTTCAATTCACTTAATTTCTTTTTAAATAATTCCAACAAAATTTTCAATAGGCATTAATTATCAAATTTCTTATAATTAAAGTAGTGACAATTATTAGCAACACCTAACACCAATTAATGTGGCTTTGAATGAGAAGGTAAGAAAATCCAATAACTAGGTTGTATCAAATAAGAAGGTGAAGCTACCCTATGTAATCCACCGAATCCGGCCTATAAAATCAAACAAACACTTCAACCAAAATCACAACTTTAATTAGTGTTGCTGGCTTTGACAAATTTAGCAATGTTGCTTTGAAAAATGGAGAGAGTCTATGAAGAAGAAGATGAAGGTGATGGTGATGATGATGAGGGATTTTCGAGCAATTTTCATCTATCATGTTGGAGATATACCAAGTCGAGCTCTATGGTTTGCACTCCTCCTTTTTTGCTTCTTTTTTGTTAGTGTATATATATAATGATGAAATAGCAAAAAAACACAACAATAAGTTTTTTTTCCTTTTTTGAAATAAGTACGGCCATAAAGATTTGGAAGGAAAAATTATCTATTGGATGATAGATAGACATCCATCAAGTTTTTCGCACTCGTGGATTTGAATCAAATCTCTTTCTTTCAATTCACTTAATATTTTTTTAACAATTCTAACAAAATTTTCAATCGATATTAGTTATCAAATTTCTTCTAAGTAAAGTAGGGACAATTATTAGCAACACATAGCACCAATTAATGTGGCTTTGAATGAGAAGGTAAGAAAATCCAATAAGCGAGTTGTATCGAATAAGAAGGTGAAGCTACCCTATATAATCCATCAAATCTAGCCTATAAAATCCGCCACACACTTCAACCAAAATCACAACCCCGATAAGTGGTGTTGCCTTTGAAAAATTTAGTAGTGATGCCTTGAAAAATGAAGAGAATCCATGAAGAAGAAGATGGAGGTGGTGGTGATGATGATGAGGGATTTTAAGAGTGATTTTCATCGATCATATTTGAGATATACCAAGTCGAGCTCCTAACATTTGTACTTTTATTTTTATTTTTCTTCTTCTTTCCTAGGGTATATATATAATGATGAAATAGCAAGAAACACAACAATAAGTTTTTTTTTCCTTTTATAAGATAAGTACAATAATAAAGATTTGAAAGGGAACTTATCTATTAGGCGAAAGATAGACATCCATCAAATTTTCTATGCCAATGGATTTGAATCAAATGTCTTTCTTTCAATTCACTTAATTTCTTTTTCAATAATTCCAATAAAATTTTCAATAGGCATTAATTGTCAAATTTCTTCTAATTAAAGTAAGGACAATTATTAGCAACACCTAACACCAATTAATGTGGCTTTGACTGAGAAGGTAAGAAAATCCAATAAGTAAGTGGTATCGAATAAGAAGGTGAAGCTGCCTAATATAGTCCATTGAATGTGGCTTATAAAATCGACCAAACATTTTAACAAAAATCATAACCCTAATTAGTGGTGCTCCCTTTGAAAAAATGTAGTAGTGAAACTTTGAAAACTGGAGAGAGTCCACGAAGAAGAAGATGTAGGTGGTGGTGATGATGACGAAGGATTTTGAGAGAAATTTTTATCTATCGTGTTAGAGATATAACAAGTCAAGCTCCTAACATTTGCACTCCTCTTTTTTTTTCTTTCTTCTTTGCTAGTGTATACATATAACGATGAAATATCAAGAAACACAATAGTAAGCTTTTTTCCTTTTCTAAGATAAGTGCAACCTTCAAGATTTGGAAGGAAAAATTATCTATTGGGTGATAGATAGGCATCTATCAAATTTTATGTACCATTGGATTTGAATCAAATCTCTTTCTTTCAATTCACTTAATATTTTTTTAACAATTTCAACAAAATTTTCAATCGGCATTAATTATCAAATTTTTTTCTAATTAAAGTAAGGGAAATTATAAGCAACACCTAACACCAATTAATGTGGCTTTGAATGAGAAGGTCGGAAAATCAAATAAGCATGTTGTATCGAATAAGAAGGTGAAGCTACCCTATATAATCGATCGAATCGGCCTAGAAAATCCACCAAACACTTCAAGAAAAATCACAACCTTGATAAGTGGTGCTTGCTTTTGAAAAATTTAGTAGTGCTACTTCGAAAAGTGGAGAAAGTCCATGAAGAAGAAGATGGAGGTGGTGGTGGTGATGATGAAGGATTTTGAGAGCGATTTCATTGATCATGTTGGAGATATACCAAGTCGAGCTCCTAACGTTTGTACTTTTATTTGTTTTTTCTTCTTCTTTGCTAGGGTATATATATAATGATGAAATAGCAAGAAACACAACAATAAGTTTGTTTTCCTTTTCGAGATAAGTATAGCAATAAAGATTTCAAAGGGAAATTATCTATTAGGCGAAAGAGAGACATCCATCAAAATTTCTATGCTAGTGGATTTGAATCAAATGTCTTTTTTTCAATTCACTTAATTTATTTTTCAATAATTCTAATAAAATTTTCAATAGGCATTAATTGTCAAATTTCTTCTAATTAAAGTAAGGACAATTATTAGCAACACCTAACACCAATTAATATGGCTTTGATCGAGAAGGTAAGAAAATCCAATAAGCAAGTGGTATCGAATAAGAAGGTGAAGCTACCCAATGTAGTCCATCAAATCGGCCTATAAAATTGACTAAACACTTTAACAAAAATCATAACCCTAATTAGTGGTGCTCCCTTTGAAAAAGTTTAGTAGTGCAACTTTGAAAAATGGAGAGAGTCCATGAAGAAGAAGATGTAGGTGGTGGTGATGATGACGAAGGATTTTGAGAGAGATTTTTATCTATCATGTTAGAGATATAACAAGTCGAGCTCCTAACGTTTGCACTCCTCTTTTTATTTTTCCTTCTTTGCTAGTGTATATATATAATGATGAAATATCAAGAAACACAACGATAAGTTTTTTTCCTTTTTTGAGATAAGTGCAGCCATAAAGATTTGGAAGGAAAAATTATCTATTGGGTGATAGATAGGCATCCATCAAATTTTCCGTACCATTGGATTTGAATCAAATCTCTTTCTTTCAATTTACTTAACATTTTTTTAACAATTCCAATAAAATTTTAAATCGACATTAATTATCAAATTTCTTCTAATTAAAGTAAGGGCAATTATAAGCAACACCTAACACCAATTAATGTGGCTTTGAATGAGAAGGTCGAGAAAATCAAATAAGCATGTTGTATCGAATAAGAAGGTGAAGCTACCCTATATAATTGATCGAATCCGGCCTAAAAGATCCACCACACACTTTAAGAAAAATCACAACCTTGATAAGTGGTGCTGCCTTTGAAAAATTTAGTAGTGCTACTTCGAAAAATGGAGAGAGTCCATGAAGAAGAAGATGGAGGTGGTGGTGGTGATGATGAAGGATTTTGAGAGCGATTTTCACTTATCATGTTGGAGATATAACAAGTTGAGCTCCTAACGTTTGCACTCCTTTTTTTTTCTTCTTCTTTGCTAGTGTATATATATAACGATGAAATAGCAAGAAACACAACAATAAGCGTTTTTGCTTTTTTAAGATAAGTACAACCATAAAGATTTGGATGGGAAAATTATCTATTCGGCAAAAGATAGACATCAATCAAATTTTTTATACTAGTGGTTTCGAATCAAATCTCTTTCTTTCAATTCACTTAATTTCTTTCCGAATAATTCGAACAAAAATTTCAATAGGCATTAATTATCAAATGTCTTCTAATTAAAGTAGGGACAATTATTAGCAACACCTAACACCAATTATTATGGCTTTGAATGAGAAGGTAAGAAAATCCAATAAGCGAGGTTGTATCAAATAAGAAGGTGAAGCTACCTAATGTAATCCATCAAATCCGGCTGATAAAATCAAACAAACAATTCAACAAAAATCACAACCCTAATTAGTAGTGCTTGCCTTTGAAAAATTTAGTAATGCTCGCTTTGAAAAATGGAGAGAGTCCATGAACTAGAAGATGAAGGTGGTGGTGATGATGATGAGGGATTTTTCGAGCAATTTTCATCTACAATGTTGGAGATATGCCAATTCGAGCTCCTAAGGTTATCACTCCTCTCTTTTTGTTCTTCTTTCTTAATGTATACATATAACGTCGAAATAGCATGAAACACAACAATAATGTTTTTTTCCTTTTCCGAGATAAGTACAACTATAAAGATTTGGAAGGGCAAATTATCTATTGAGCGAAAGATAGACATCCATCAAATTGTTTTACCAGTTGATTTGAATCAAATGTCTTTCTTTCAATTCATTTAATTTCTTTTTGAATAATTCCAACAAAATTTTAAATAGACTTTAATTATCAAATTTCTCCTAATTAAAGACGGGAGAATTATTAGCAACACCTAACACCAATTAATATGGCTTTGAATGAGAAGGTAAAAAATCCAATAAGAAGGTTGTATCGAATAAGAAGGTTAAGCTACCCCATGTAATCCATCGAATCGGCCTATAAAATCAACCAAACACTTCAACCAAAATCACAACCTTAATTAGTAGTGCTGCCATTGAAAAATTTAACAGTTGTTGCTTTGAAAAATGGAGAGTCCATGAAGAAGAAGATGGAGGTGGTGGTGATGATGAGGAGGGATTTTCGCAGTGATTTTCATCTATCATGTTAGAGATATACCAATTCGGGCTTCTAAGCTTTGCACTCCTCTCTTTTTCTTCTTCTTTCTTAGTTTATATATATAACGATGAAATAGAGAGAAACACAACAATAACTTTTTTCTCTTTTCGAGATAAGTACAACCATAAAGATTTGGAAAGAAAAATTATCTATTAGGTTAAGATAGACATCCATCAAACTATTTGTGCTAGTGGATTTGAATCAAATCTCTTTCTTTCAATTCACTTAATTTCTTTTTTAATAGTTCCAATAAAATTTTCAATCGGCATTAATTATCAAATTTCTTCTAATTAAAGTAAGGGCCATTACTAGCAACACTTAACACGAATTAATATGGCTTTGAATGAGAAGGAAAGAAAATCCAATAAGTATGTGGTATCGAATAAGAATGTGAAGGTTCATTATATAATCCATCGAATTTGGCCTATAAAATCAAACAAACATTTCAATAAAAATTTAGTAGTGTTGCTTTGAAAAATGGAGACAATCAATGAAGAAGAAGATGGAGATGGTGGTGATCATGATGAGGAATTTTCGAGAGATTTTGATCTATCATGTTGGAGATATACCAAGTCGAGCTCCTATGGTTTGCACTCCTCTTTTTTTTTCTTCTTTGTTAGTGTATATATATAACGATAAAATAGCAAGAAACACAACAATAAGTTTTTTTTTCCTTTTCCGTGATAAGTACAACCATAAAGATTTAGAAGGAAAAATTGGCTATTGGGTGATAGATAAACGTCCATCAAATTGGAGATATAACAAGTCGAGCTCCTAACGTTTACACTCCTTTTTTTCTTCTTTACTAGTGTATATATATAACGATGAAATAGCAAGAAAAACAACAATAAGCTTTTTTGCTTTTCCGTGATAAGTACAACCATAAAGATTTGGATGGGAAAATTATCTATTCGGCAAAAGATAGACATCCATCAAATTTTCTATACCAATGGTTTTGAATCAAATCTCTTTCTTTCAATTCACTTAATTTCATTTTTGAATAATTCCAACAAAATTTTCAATAGGCATTAATTACCAAATGTCTTCTAATTAAAGTAGGGAAAATTATTAGCAACACATAACACCAATTATTGTGGCTTTGAATGAGAAGGTAAGAAAATCCAATAAGCGAGTTGTATCAAATAAAAAGGTGAAGCTACCCAATGTAATCCATCAAATCTGGCCTATAAAATCAAACAAACACTTCAACAATAATCACAACCCTAATTAGTGGTGCTGCCTTTGAAAAATTTAGTAGTGCTACTTTGAAATATGGAGAGAGTCCATGAACTAGAAGATGGAGGTGGTGGTGATGATGATGAGGGATTTTCAAAGCGATTTTAATCCATCACGTTGGAGATATACCAAGTCGAGCTCCTAAGGTTTCTACTCCTTTTTTTTTCTTCTTCTTTGTTAGTGTATATATATAATGACGAAATAGCAAGAAACATAAAAATATTTTTTTCCCTTTTTTAGATAAGAGCAGACCATAAAGATTTGGACGGGAAAATTATGTATTGGGTGACGAGATAGACATCCACCAAATTTTTTCTACTAGTGGATTTGAATCAAAAATCTTTTTTCCATTCACTTAATTTCTTTTTGAAAAATTCCAACAAAAATTTCAATCGGCATTAAGTGTCAAATTTCTTCTAATTAAAGTAGGGGTAACTAGCAGTAACACCTAATACAATTTAATGAGGCTTTGAATGAAAGGTAAGAAAATCCAATAAGCATGTGGTATCGAATAAGAAGGTGAAGCTAGCCTATATAATCCATCGAATTTGGCCTATAAAATCCACCAAACACTTCAACCAAAATCACAATCCTAATAAGTGGTGTTGTCTTTGAAAAATTTAGTAGTCTTGCTTTGAAAAATGGAGGTAGTCCATGAAGAAGAAGATGGAGGTGGTGGTGATGATGATGAGGGATTTTCTAAGCAATTTTCCTCTGTCATGTTAGAGATATACCAAGTCGAGCTCCTAAGGTTTGTGCTCCTATCTTTTTCTTCTTCTTTGTTAGTGCATATATATAACGATGAAAGAGCAAGAAACACAACAATAAGTTTTTTTTCCTTTTTCGAGATAAGTACGACCATAAAGATTTGGAAGGGAAAATTATCTATTTAGAGAAATAAAGACATCTATTAAATTTTTTGTACCAATCGATTTGATTGAAATCTCTTTCCTTCAATTCACTTATTATTTTTTTAATAATTACAATAAAATTTTCAATTGACATTAATTATTGAATTTCCTCTAATTAAAGTAAGGGCAATTATTAGCAACACCTAACACCAATTAATGTGGCTTTGAATGAGAAGGTAAGAAAATCCAATAAGCATGTGGTACCGAATAAAAAGGTGAAGCTACCCAACATAATACGTCGAATCTGGCCTATAAAATCCACCAAACACTTCAACCAAAATCACAACCCCAATAAGTGGTGCTTCCTTTGAAAAATTTAGTAGTGTTGCTTTGAAAAATGGAGAGAGTCCGTGAAGAAGAAGATGGAGGTGGTAGTGATGATGACAAGGGATTTTGAGAGCGATTTTCATCTATAATGTTGGAGATATACCATGTCGACCTCCTAACGTTTGCACTCCTCTCTTTTTCTTCTTCTTTGCTAGTGTCTATATAAAACGATGAAATACCAAAAAACACAACAACAAGGTTTTTTCATTTTATAAGATAAGTACAACCAAAAAGATTTGGAAGGGAAAATTATCTATGGGCGAAAGATAGACATCCATCAAATTTTCTATACCAATGGATTTGAATCAAATGTCTTTCTTTCAATTCACTTAATTTTCTTTTAATAATTCCAATAAAATTTTAAATAAGCGTTAATTATTAAATTTCATCTAATTAAAGTAGGGGCAATTATTAGCAACACCTAACACCAATTAATGTGGCTTTGAATGAGAAGGTAAAAAAATTCAATAAGAATGTGGTCTCGAATAAGGAGGTAAAGCTACCCTATATAATCCATCGAATCCGGCCTATAAAATCCACCAAACACTTCAACCAAAATCATAACCCGGATAAGTGGTGCTCGCCTTTGAAAAATTTAGTAGTGCTTGCTTTGAAAAATAGAGAGAGTCCATGATGAAGAAGATGGAGGTGGTGGTGATGATGATGAGGGATTTTGAGAGCGAATTTCATTTATCATGTTGGAGGTATACGAAGTCAAGCTCCGAACATTTGCACTCCACTCTTTTTTCTTCGTCTTTGTTAGTCTATATATATAACGATAAAATAGCAAGAAACACAACAATAAGTTTTTTTTCCTTTTCCGAGATAAGTACCACCAAAAAGATTTGAAAGGGAAAATTACCTATTGGGTGAAAGATAGACATCCATCAAATTTTCTATACCAATGGATTCAAATCAAATCTCCTCTTTTCAATTCACTTAATTTCTTTTTAATAATTCCAACAAAATTTTCAATCAGCATTAATTATCAAATTTTTTCTAATTAAATTAAGGGCAATTAGTAGAAACACCTAACACCAGTTAATGTGACTTTGAATGAGAAGGTAAGAAAATCCAATAAGCAAGCGGTATCGCATAAGCAGTGGTATAGAATAAGAAAGTGAAGCTACCTAATATAATCCACCAAATCTGGCCTATAAAATCCACCAAACACTTCAACTAAATTCACATCCCTAATTAATGGTGCTACCTTTGAAAAATTGAGCAATGCTACTTTGGAAAATGAGACGAGTCCATGAAGAAGAAGATGGAGGTGGTAGAAATGATGATGAGGGATTTTCGGAGCGATTTTCATCTATCATGTTGGAGATATACCAAGTCAAGCTCCTAACGTTTGCATTCCTCTCTTTTTTCTTCTTCTTTGTTAGTGTATATATATATAACGATGAACAAGTAGGAAATACGACAATAAGTTTTTTTCATTTCCTAAGATAAGTACAACCATAAAGATTTGAAAGGAAAAATTATCTTTTTGGGTGAAAGATAGGCATCCATCAAATTTTCTATGCCAATGGATTTAAATCAAATCTCTTTCTTTCAATTCACTTAATTTCTTTTTTAATAATTCCAAGAAAATTTTCAATCGGCATTAATTGTCAAATTTCTTCTAATTAAAGTAGGGTCAATTATTAGCAACACCTAACACAAAATAATGTGAGTTTGAATGAAAAGGTAAGAAAATCCAATAAGTAGGTGGAATCGAATAAGAGGGTGAAGCTACCCAATATACACCACCAAGTCTAGCCTATAAAATCAACCAAGCACTTAAACCAAAATAACAACCCTAATTAGAGGTGTGGCTTTTGAAAAATTTAGTACTGCTCGCTTTGAAAAATGGAGAGAGTCCATGAGCTAGAAGATGGAGGTGGTGGTGATGATGATGAGGGATTTTAGAGCGATTTTCATCCATCATATTGGAGATATACCAAGTCGAGCTCCTAAGGTTTCCACTCCTTTTTTTTTCTTCTTCTTTGTTAGTATATATATATAACGATGAAATAGCAAGAAAGACAACAATAATTTTTTTCCTATCTAAGATAAGAGTAGTCATAAAGATTTGGATGAGAAAATTATCTATTAGGTGAAAGATAGATATCCACCAAATTTTTTGTACCAGTGGATTTGAATAAAAAATATTTTTTTCCATTCACATAGTTTCTTTTTGAAAAATTCCAACAAAAATTTTAGTCGACATTAAGTTTCAAATTTCTTCTAATTAAAGAAGGGGCAACTATCAGCAACACCGTACACAATTTATCGAGGCTTTGAATGAGAAGGTAAGAAAATCCAATAAGCAAGTGGTATCAAATAAGAAGGTGAAGCTAACCTATATAATCCATCAAATCGACCTATAAAATCCGCCAACCACTCGCAACAAAAATCACAACCCGAATTAGTGGTGCTGCCTTTGAAAATTTTGATATTGCTACTTTGAAAAATGGAGAGAGTCCATGAAGAAGAAGATGGAGGTGTGGTGTTGATGATTATGGATTTTCGAGCCATTTTCATCTATCATGTTAGAGGTATACCAAGTCGACCTCCTAAGGTTTGCATTTCTCTCTATTTTCTTCTTCTTTGTTACTGTCTATACATAACAATGAAATAGCAAGAAACACAATAATAGGTTTTTTTTTACATTTTTTAGATAAGTACAACCATAAAGATTTGGAAGCGAAAACTATCAAATTTCGATATCGGTGGATTTGAATCAAATCTCTTTATTTCAATTCACTTAATTTCTTTTTTAATAATTCCAAAAAAATTTCAATAAGCATTAATTATCAAATTTCTTCTAATTAAAGCAATGGCAATTATTAGAAAAACCTAACACCAATTAATGTGGCTTCAAATAACAAAGTAAGAAAATCCAATAAGCAGATTGTATCGAATAAGAAGGTGAAGCTACCCAATATAATCCACTAAATCCGAGGCTATAAAATCCACCAAACAGTTCAACCAAAATCAAAACCCTAATTAGTGGTGCTCCCTTTAAAAAATTTAGTAGTGTTGTATTGAAAAATGGAGGGAGTCCATGAAGAAGAAGATGGAAGTGATGATGATGGTGATTAATCGTAGCCATTTCATCTATCATGTTAGAGATATACCAACTCGAGCTCTTAAGGTTTACACTCCTCTCTTTTTTGTTCTTCTTTGTTGGAGTATATAGATAATGATGAAATCACAAGAAACACAATAATAAGTTTTTTTTCTTTCCTAAGATAAGTACAACCATAAAGATTTGGAAGGAAAAATTATCTTTTGGGTGAAAGATAGGCATAGTCATCCATCAAATTTTATGTACCAGTGGATTTGAATCAAATCTCTTTATTTCAATTCATTAATTTCTTTTTTAATGATTCCAAAAAAAATTTCAATCAGAATTAATTATCAAATTTCATCTAATTAAAGTAGGGGTAATTATTAGTAGCACTAAACACCAATTAATGTGGTTTTGAATAAGAAGGTAAGAAAATCCTATAAGCGAAGTGGTATCGAATAAGAAGGTGAAGCTAACCTATATAATCTCACGAATTTGGCCTATAAAATCCACCAAACACTTCAACCAAACTCAAAACCCTAATTAGTGGTGCTGCCTTTGAAAAATTTAACATTGCTTCTTCGAAAATTGGAGAGAGTCCATGAAGAAGAAGATGGAGGCGGTGGTGATGATGATTAAGGATTTTAGAGCCATTTTCATCTATCATGTTGGAGGTATACCAAGTTAAGCTCCTAAGATTTGCATTCCTCTCTTTTTTCTTCTTCTTTGTAACTACATATATATAACGATGAAATAACAAGAAACACAACAATAAGCTTTGTTCCTTTTTTGAGATAAGTACAACCATAAAGATTTGGAAGGAAAAATTATCTATTGGGTGAAAGATAGGCATCTATCAAATTTTAGTACTAATGGATTTGAATCAAATCTCTTTCTTTCAATTCACTTAATTTCTTTTTTAATAATTCCAACCAAAATTTTCAAATCAGCATTAATTATCAAATTTCATCTAATTAAAGTAAAGGCAATTATTAGCAAAACCTAACACCAATTAATGTGGCTTTGAATGACAAGGTAAGAAAATCCAATAAGCGAGTGGTATCGAATAAGAAGGTGAAGCTACCGAATATAATCCACTAAATGCAGGCTATAAAATCCACCAAACACTTCAACCAAAATCAAAACCATAATTATTGGTGCTGCCTTTGAAAATTATAACATTGCTTCTTTGAAAATTGGAGAGAGTCCATGAAGAAGAAGATAGAGGCGGTGGTGATGATGATTAAGGATTTTCGAGCCATTTTCATCTATCATCTTGGAGGTATACCAAGTCAAGCTCCTAATGATTTTCATTCCTCTCTTTTTTCTTCTTCTTTGTTACTACTATATATATAACGATGAAATCGCAAGAAACACAACAATAAGCTTTTTTCCATTTTTGAGATAAGTACAATCATAAAGATTTGGAAGGGAAAATTATATATTGGGTGAAAGATAGACATCCATCAAATTTTAGTACCAGTGGATTTAAATCAAATCTCTTTTCTTCAATTCACTTAATTTCATTTTTCAATAATTTCAATAAAATTTTCAATCAGTCATTAATTATCAAATTTCTTCTAATTAAAGTAAGGGCAATTATTAGGAAAACCTAACACCAATTAATGTGGCTTTGAATGAGAAGGTAAGAAAATATGATAAGCATGTAGTATCGAATAAGAAGGTCAAGCTACCCTATATAATCCACCAAATCTGGACTATAAAATCCACCAAACACTTCAACCAAAATCACAACCCTAATTAGTGGTGCTACCTTTAAAAAATTTAGTAGTGTTGCTTTGAAAAATGGAGGGAGTCCATGAAGAAGACGATGGAGGCGATGGTGATGATGATTAAGGATTTTTAGAGCTAATTTCATCTATCATGTTGGAGATATACCAAGTCGAGCTCCTAAGGTTTGCACTCCTCTCTTTTTTTTCTTCTTTATTAGAGTATATAGATAACGATGAAATAGCAAGAAACACAATAATAAGTTTTTTTCCTTTTCTCGAGATAATTACAAGCATAAAGATTTGGAAGGGAAACTTATCTTTTGGGTGAAAGATAGGCATCCATCAAATTTTCTATACCAGTAGAATTTGAATCAAATCTCTTTCTTTCAATTCATTTAATTTCTTTTTTAATGATTCCAACAAAATTTTCAATCGGCATTAATTATCAAATTTCTTCTAATTAAAGTAAGGGCAATTATTAGTAGCACTTAATACCAATTAATGTGGTTTTGAATGAGAAGGTAAGAAAATCTCAGTAAGCGAGTGGTATCGAATAAGAAGGTGAAACTAACCTATATAATCCCTCGAATCTGGCCTATAAAATCCACCAAACACTTCGACGAAAACCAAAAACCCTAATTAGTGGTGCTCGCCTTTGAAAAATTTAACATTCGTTGCTTTGAAAATTGGAGAGAGTCCATGAAGAAGAAGATGGAGGTGGTGGTGATGATGATTAAGGATTTTCAGAGCCATTTTCATCAATCATGTAAGAGGTATACCAAGTCAAGCTCCTAAGGTTTGCATGCCTCTATTTTTTCTTCTTCTTTGTTACTACATATATATAACGATGAAATAGCAAGAAACATAACAATAAGCTTTTTTCATTTTTTGAGATAAGTATAACCATAATTATTTGGAAGGAAAAATTATCTATTGGGTGAAAGATAGACATCTATCAAATTTTAGTACCAATGGATTTGAATCAAATCTCTTTCTTTCAATTCACTTAATTTCATTTTTAATAATTCCAATAAAATTTTCAATCGGCATTAATTATCAAATTTCTTTTAATTAATGTAAGGGAAATTATTAGGAAAACCTAACACCAATTAATATGGCTTCGAATGGACAAGGTAAGAAAATCTGATAAGCAGGTGGTATCGAATATGAAGTTGAAGCTACCCTATATAATCCACCGAATCTAGGCTATATAATCCACCAAACACTTCAACCAAAGTCACAACCCTAATTAGTGGTGCTACCTTTAAAAAATTTAGTAGTGTTGCTTTGAAAAATGGAGGGAGTCTATGAAGAAGGCGATGGAGGCGGTGGTGATGATGATTAAGGATTTTTAGAGCCATTTTCATCAATCATGTTGGAGATACACCAAGTCAAGCTCCTAAGGTTTGCACTCCTCTCTTGTTTCTTCTTCTTTGATAGAGTATATAGATAATGATGAAATTGCAAGAAACACAATAATAAGTTTTTTTCCTTTTTCGAGATAATTATAGCCATAAAGATTTGGAAGGGAAAATTATCTTTTGGGTGAAAGATAGGCATCCATCAAATTTTCTATACCAGTAGATTTAAATCAAATCTCTTTCTTTCAATTCATTTAATTTCTTTTTTAATGATTCCAACAAAATTTTTAATCGACATTAATTATCAAATTTCTTCTAATTAAAGCAGAGGCAATTATTAGTAGCAGCTTAACACCAATGAATGTGGTTTTGAATGAGAAGGTGAGAAAATCCGTATGCGAGTGGTATCGAATAAGAAGGTGAAGCTAACCTATATAATCCTTTGAATCTAGCCTATAAAATCTACCAAACACTTCAATCAAAATAAAAACCCTAATTAATGGTGCTGTCTTTGAAAAATTTAACATTGCTGCTTTGAAAATTGGAGAGAGTCCACGAAGAAGAAGATGGAGGCGGTGGTGATGATGATTAATGATTTTCAGAGCCATTTGCATCTATCATGTTGGAGGTATACCAAGTCAAGCTCATAAGATTTGCATTCCTCTCTTTTTCTTCTTCTTTGTTAGTACATATATATAACGATGAAATAGCAAGAAATACAACAATAAGCTTTTTTTCTTTTTTGAGATAAGTACAACCATAAAGATTTGGAAGGAAAAATTATCTATTGGGTGAAAGATATACATCAATCAAAATTTAGTATCAGTGGATTTGAATCAAATCTCTTTCTTTCAATTCACTTAATTTCATTTGTAATAATTCCAACCAAATTTTAAATCGACATTAATTATCAAATTTCTTCTAATTAAAGTAAGGCCAATTTTTAGGAAAACCTAACACCAATTAATGTGGCTTTGAATGACAAGGTAAGAAAATCTAATAAGGAGGTGGTATCGAATAAGAAGGTGAAGCTACCCTATATAATCCATCGAATCTAGGCTATAAAATCCACCAAACACTTCAACCAAAATCACAACCCTAATTAGTGCTGCTACCTTTAAAAAATTTAGTAGTTTTGCTTTGAAAAATGGAGGGAGTCCATGAAGAAGACGATGGAGGTAGTGGTGATGATGATTAAGGATTTTCGAGCCATTTCATCTTTCATGTTAGAGATATACCAAGTCGAGCTCCTAAGGTTTGCACTCCTCTCTTTTTTCTTCTTCTTTGTTAAAGTATATAGATAACGATGAAATAGCAAGAAACACAATGATAAGTTTTTTTCCTTTTCCGAGATAATTACAGCCATAAAGATTTGGAAGGGAAAATTATCTTTCGAGTGAAAGATAGGCATCCATCAAATTTTCTATACCGATAGATTTGAATCAAATCTCTTTATTTCAATTCATTTAATTTCTTTTTTAATGATTCCAACAAAATTTTCAATCGTCATTAATTATCAAATTTATTCTAATTAAAGTAGAGGCAATTATTAGTAGCACTTAACACAAATTAATGTGGTTTTGAAGGAGAAGGTAAGAAAATCCTGTAAGCGAGTGGCATCGAATAAAAAGGTGAAGCTAATCTATATAATCCCTCGAATCTAGCCTATAAAATCCACCAAACACTTCAACAAAACAAAACCCTAATTAGTGGTGCTCGCCTTTGAAAAAGTTAACATTGTCGCTTTGAAAATTGGAGAGAGTCCATGAAGAAGAAGATGGAGGCGGTGGTGATGATGATTAAGGATTTTCGTAGCGATTTTCATCTATCATGCTGGAGGTATACCAAGTCAAGCTCGCTAAGATTTACATTCCTCTCCTTTTTCTTCTTCTTTATTAGTATATATATATAACGATGAAATAGCAAGAAACACAACAATAAGCTTTTTTCATTTTTTGAGATAAGTACAACCATAAAGATTTGGAAGGGAAAATTATCTATTGGGTGAAAGATAGACATCTATCAAATTTTAGTACTAGTAGATTTGAATCAAATCTCTTTCTTTCAATTCACTTAATTTCTTTTTTAATAATTCCAAAAAAAAAATTCAATCGGCATTAATTATCAAATTTATTCTAATTAAAGTAGGGGCAATTATTAGAAACACCTAACACCAATTAATGTGGCTTTGAACGAGAAGGTAAGAAATTCCAATAAGTAGGCGGTATCGAACAAGAAGGTGGAATAGAATAAGAAGGTGAAGCTATCCAAGTATAATCCATCGGATATGGCCTATAAAATCCACCAAAGACTTTAACCAAAATCATAACCCTAATTAGTGGTGCTGTCTTTGCAAAATTGAGCTATGCTACTTTGAAAAATGGAGAGAGTCCATGAATAAGAAGATGAAGGTGGTGGTGATGATGATGGTGGATTTTCGGAGCGATTTTCATCTATCATGTTGGAGATATACCAAGTCGAGCTCCCAAGGTTTGCACTCATCTCTTTTTTCTTCTTCTTTGTATATATATAATGGTGAAATAGCAAGAAACACAACAATAAGTTTTTTTCCTTTTACGAGATAAGTACGACCATAAAGATTTTGACGAAAAAATTATCTTTTGGGTGAAAGATTAGCATCCATCAAATTTTACGTACCAGTGGATTTGAATCAAATCTCATGATAGATGAAAGAAGAAGAAGGAAGATAGGAGTGTAAACCTTAGGCGCTCAACTTGGTATATCTCCAACATGATAGATGAAAATCGCTCCGAAAATCCCTCATCATCTTCACCACCACCTCCATCTTCTTCTTCATGGACTCTCTCCGTTTTTCAAAGCGGGACTACTAAATTTTTCAAAGGTAGCACCACTAATTAAGGTTGTGATTTTGGTTAAAGTGTTTGATGGATTTTATAGGCAAGATTTGGTGGATTATATGGGGTAGCTTTAACTTTTTATTCGATACCACCTACTTATTTAATTTTCTTACCTTCTCATCCAAGATCACATTAATTGGTGTTAGGTGTGCTAATAATTGCCCCTATTTTAATTATAAGAATTTTGATAATTAATGCCAATTGAAAATTTTATTGAAATTATTAAAAAAAAATTTAAGTGAATTGAAAGAAAAAGATTTGATTCAAATTCGATGATATAGAAAATTTGATGGATGTCTATCTATCACCCAATAGATAATTTTTCCTTCCAAATATTTATGGATGTACTTATCTCAAAAAAGAAAAAAAAATTATAGTTGTGTTTCTTGCTATTTCATCGTTATAAAATATTAAGAAATAAAATCAACATTTTTTACTATTCATTGTAAATTTAATTATTGTTTACATTGACAAAAGTCATAAAACCCTACGGCTAGTGTTTGCAGCTAGTAGGACTAGAGAGACTTGGAAAGTCTATTGCCGTCACAGGGACTGGTTGAATTAATTACATAAGCAAAATCAAAAGGCCACCATAAATCGGGATTGTTTTTAATATGGTACGCATATGCAAATATGAGTTGCCAGAGAGAAGAAGCGAGAGCAATCATATTTGTTATTTAATAAATATAAAAATATAAAATAATTTAAAAGAAATTAAATGTGCCATCCACAATAAAGTTTTAATTTTTGAATAAAATTCAATTTCAACTATCTAATTGAATTCGTTATATTTATAGACTTTTTTTTCTTTTTAGAATTATTATTATTTTTATTGACAACCAGTTAAATGGTTAATAGTTGCCAATAAAAATCACCCATTATTTATAACAATTAATCTTTTTTTATTATAATGATTAACGATTTTTTTATCATGCTTAATTAAGAGGATTGTTAACGTCATACAATATTATATAAAAGTAAATATATATAAAATAAAGTTACTCTGTTTTAGTCAATAAAAATCTTACAATGATTAAAACATTTTTGATTGATAATCTTTTAAATTTTTAATAGTTCTCAATAATCATCGTTAATTTGTTTTGTTCAACTCAAACATTCATCACACACATTTAAAATTTTTAATAGAATTAATCTTTTAGGAATTAAATTTATAATCTTTTATTATAAAAAATTATAACTACTTTGGTAATGACCGCCATTCATCACATACGACGATTAATATTTTTTTTAATTGTATTTAATAAAGAGCATTATTAATATCACACGATACTATACAAGGGATAATAACCGTCATTCATTACATACCATGATTAATGTTTTTTTTAATTGTATTTAATAAAGAGCATTGTTAACATCACACGATACTATACAAGGGAAGGGCAAGCGTGTGCATGCTTAGCGTTTTTTTACCGTGCACCGCTGCGTCTTCTTATTCATAAAAATAATGATTACGTGTCTGAATTTTCATCTTGTGCAATGTTGCCACGGCAATATAAGGTAATCTCTCAAATCTGCAATGTCTCCTTTCTCTTTGAGCAAGAAACCACAAAGGAAGGCGGGCAGTTCTGATTGCACCCATTTTGCTGCTTTCTCTTAAATAATTTTTTTTTCCACAAAGGTGATTAGAATCATTAAGTTCTTTATTAAGGATGACTATATTTCATTTCTCTCTCTCTCTTTTATTTATTTTTTTAGAAATCATAGGAATGATAACAACATTAGTAATTAAGATTAGGCTCTTAATTATAAGTTTTTTCTATCATTTGATGTCATCAATGGTAAATAGTTTATACATTGCAAGTTTCATGTGAATGGTAAAATTACAAAAGCGTGCTCAATTAGAAGTTGATTATTGAACATTAATAAAGGAGTCTATCATTGTGAACAAGTTTAGAAAGAGAGCAAATACAATTAAAATTTTACATAGATCTATTTAGTTGTAAAAATTTATTTTTATCAAGTCATAAAACTGTCTTGTACATCAGGACTGATCTAAATGCTACTTCGTTCTTTGTTTCATGTGATATAACATTTCTGTCGATTTTGAAACTCACAGGAACTCATATGCCCACACAAAGTATTTATGTCAATGATCATAATAGGGACCAAATATTTGTTGGAAATCCTATGCCATCCTAGCTATGACAATTTGAAAGCAACAATTTTATTTATTTATTTATTTATTTTTAAGTTTGACGTGGTTAAAAAAACATCTTACAAACGTCATCAAGTATTTTATAGGGATAGACAACCTTTTAAAATTTTTAATAATTTTTATTTGTCAATAGCAATCATTCATGTATAATAGTTAACGATTTTTTTTAATCGTATTTAATAAAGATAATTGTTAGCATCAAACAATACTATGTAAAAGTGAAACTTGAGATACATATATATGATCAAATCACTTTTTTTAGTCACATATAAAATCTTATTGTGATTCAAAATATTTTTTCATTCATAATTGCCAATAACGGTCACTCACATGTATAACAGTTAATGACTTTTTTTATTGTATTTAATTGTTAATATCATGCAATACTATATAAAAATGAAACTTCAGATACATATATGAGATCAAGTTAAATTTTTCTTTTAGTCATATGGAAAATATTACAATGATTAAAAACTTTTTTGATCAACAACCTTTTAAATTTTGAATAGTTGCCAATAACAAGCATTCTTCACGTATAGTGGTTAACCACCTTTTTTTTTATCGTATTTAATAAAGGGTGCTGTTAACATCAAATAATGCTATACATAAGTGAAGCTTGAGATACTTAATTATACATGATCAAGTTACTCTATTTGTCATATAGAAAATATTACAATGATTAAAAATCTTGTTTGATTAACAAGCATTAAATTTTTAATAATTACCAATAACGCTCATTCATCATGTATAATGGTTAACAACTATTTTATTATACTTAATTAAGAGGATTGTTAACATCTAGCATTACTATATAAAATTAAAACTTGAAATACATATATTTATATATGATCAAGTTATTCTTTCTTAGTTAAATAAAAAATCTTACAATGATTAAATATTTTTTGATGACAACCTTTTAATTTTTAATAGTTCTTGACAATAATCTCATTAGGTATAATGAATAACGACTTTTTTATTGTATTTAAAAAGAAGATTGTTAACATCAAACAATATTGTATAACAATAAAACTTGAGATACATATATATGATAAAGTTCATCATTTTTAGTCATATAAAAAATATTACAATGATTAAAAAAATTTAATCCAACAATGAATCCTTTTTAGTCATATCGAAAATATTACATATCTATGATAAAGTTAGAAATTGAAACAAAGTAGGTAGAAATGGAAGAAGTTGTTGGTTTAAAGCCGAACGAATGGAAGAAACTCGCTAGTTTAAAGTCGAATGGAATGGAAGAAGCTTTCAACAATCATGATGCAAAAATGGAAGAAGCTACTACCGTAAAGTCGAACAAAATGAAAGAAGCTTTCAATATAGAAGGTCTCTGCTAGTTTAAAGTCGAACGGAATGGAAGAAGCTTTCAATAATCATGATGCAAAAATGGAAGAAGCTGCTTATCGTAAAGCTAGATATAATGAAAGAAGCTTTCAATATAGAAGGTCTCTTCGTTTCGACAATAGGGATAGTAGAGATCGTTTCTCAATCGTTTTGTATAATTAGGATTATAAGAATATATGCGGACTATGTAGTTATATTTAAAAAGTTTTAAAAATCTTTTAATCCAATGTGTTAATAAAAAAATTTTAAGCTAAAAACTTTGACTTATCTAACTAAATGGATTTTGACTAAATTTAAAATTTAAGTTGAAAGCTTCTTCCTTTCCTCTTACACCTAAACATGCCAAACCTTAACTTGGCATTCTAGCGAGATCTATTGCTTCCAATGGCATAAATATGTTGATTCTTTCATCGTCCTTTTTCTTGAAACAAGCATAGGAGTTATACAAGAAACTAGGCATTAACAACAATATGAATCTTGCTCAACTTAACTTAAGTTGTGAAGTAATTACATGTTGGATGGAAGTTGAGAAGATGAACTCTATGATTACCAATTCAACATAAGGTGAACACGAGGCAAAGAGATTTTTGCTTCATTCCTATGTGCTCTAATCCCTATCGATAGATCATGTTCAATGACTATAATATTTTATTTTACCTAAACACATGAAACAAGTTATGATTCGAATATTGTCACCGACCTTAAGAACTTCTTCGATATGTCATTGATTTGATGGAGTAAATTTGATTTGATTTCTCCCTTTTCTTCAAGTTCTTCACAACCTTTCTCAAGTAGTCCACCTCTATCAATGATGGTGGTTTTCATTTCGCTCATATTAAGTGAATGATGTTTTGTTGTGGAGGAAAATGTTACATTATATAAGCTAGGTTCCAATGATTTAGGGTTTTGTACTAATGCATATGTAAAGCTTCCCAACAAGAAATTTTGTACTAGCTATTCTAAAATTAAATATCAATACTTATTCCATAAAAAAAGGAGATAAATACAAAAATGAGAGAAAAATAAATAAATACAAAGAGGAAAGAAGAAAAATAAAAAAAAGGAAAATTTGAGCCTAAATAGAAATATTTTTATTACTTTTGATAAATCTGTTGTAATTCTTTTTATTTTTATGTCTATCTCTCTTTTCAAAAGTAAGCCCATATAGTAATTATTGTAAATATACAACATAAATTTCTCCATCACCAACCCCCAATTCCACCAAAACAAGAAATAACTAAGAATTTATGGCGTGTATTTCGCTTTCTATTTAATGAAAAAAAATCGAATTATTAATTGCGGACATGTAACACACACACACACACACACACACGCACAGAGAAAAGATGAAAAAACTTAAATATAAGAAAATGACATATATATAGTGATTGCCATATATTTCATATTTAAGTTAGATAGTTGAGATTTGATTTTATTCAAAAAAAAAAAAAAAAAAAGCTCAAGCCTTGTACTGGGTGGTATGTCCTAGACTTTATATATTGCTCATCAATTATTTATTTATTTGATGGAAGATAAGCTATGTAACATCATATTAGTTGATTGGTGTGAAACTATGATAATATTACATTAAATGCTATTTATAATTTTATGGCAATATTTATGTGAGACACAACAAATCTCTTTAACCACTAGGACAACCTCTTCAAAAAAAATTATTTGTATAGTGTATATCAAACTATATATCATACATAACAGTTTATATATTTTTTTAAAATTTCATTATTATTTTATTCATTTAGAATAGTTTAATCGGTTGCTGAATCTTTTTTTTTTCCTTTCTATTACACTAATCAATTTTGATTCTTGTTCAAGTGTAATGGAAATCTTGTTCCGTTAATCTTTATAAGAAAATATAGTTTATAAAAAAACTCGACTATCATTTTATTTACTTATTAACAAAATGAACACATGATGACAAGTTAAAAGCCATAATTTTTATTTTTTATTTTGACATCGTAAAAAAGCATCTTACAAGCTTCATCATGCATTTTATAGTGATAGACTCGATAATCTCTTTTTGTCAATAGCAATCTTTCATCATGTATAATGGTTAACGATGTTTTTATCATATTTAGTAAAGAAGATTGTTAACATCAAGCAATAATATATGGAAGTGAAACTTGAAATACATATATATGATCAAATTGCTATTTTTTAGTCATATATAAAATCTTACCATGACTATTTTTTTAATTGATAACTACTTGGTAACGATCATTCATCATGTATAACGGTTAATGACTTTCTTTTTATCATATTTAATAAAGAGGATTGTTAATATCAAGCAATACTATATATGATCAAGTTATTTTTAGTCATATTGAAAATAATACAACGATTAAAAAAATCTTTTTAATTGGCAACCTTTTAAATTTTTAATAGTTGCCAACAATGATCATTCATCATATATAACGAGTTAACGATTTTTTAAATTTTTAATAGTTACCAATAACGACCATTCATCACATACAATAGTTATTTATCATATTTAATAAAAAGGACTCGTTAACGATCATTTTCCATGCATTGAGGAGTATCTCTTAACCACGTCCAAAAAAAACATTATTCTTAAAGTGTGTGAAATCTGGTTCAAGGATATCCTTATTACAAGAAAAAAAAACATAAATGACCTTTTTATTATGTGAGAGTAACAAATTTGGACCATATTTATGGCTTAACTTTTTACTAATTAAACATGACAAATTTTAGAAACTATTGCAAATATCCTCTCGTCTCATTTGCAAGTGACCAATTTAATTTCAAAGAAGCCTAACGTAAAATTTAAAATGAAAAGATAAATAATAAAAAATTTGAAAAGAAACTTCACTCAATTATCTTGAATTTGTTTGATGGGTCTTTCTACACCTAGGATTTAAACCAAATTAACACCTTTCCTTTCAATCTAGCATTCTCTTTTCTGCAATGAAAACATATTTTTTGTTTTTTATTTTTTATTTTTATTATTTACAACACTTGTTATCATCAACTCACCGAACCCTATAAAGAAGTTTTTGAAGGGAAAAGCATCTATAACTTGATATGATAAGCTTTAAAGGAAAAAGCATCTATAGTAGGATAAGATAAGCTTTGAAGGAAAAAAGCATATATAGTAGGATAAGACAGACATTCATCTTCTACATCTTGGATTTGAACAAAATCTCTTTGCTTTCAATTGGCATCATTTGTGTTTTTGTATCATCTTTTTTTTTTTTTTGTGTTAATTATAGCTAGCCCTAGCAATTATTAACATACCTTTTGTGGTATGGAGAAATCCTCCGTGTGAAAGCAAATTAAGGAAAGAAATCCAAGTAGTAGGTGGTATAAAAAAACCTAACCTTAGAAGAGAAGGAGTCTAGTCTCTATATAATATCTTATTCAATAAACTCTCCCAATCATCAAAATGGACGAAATAAGAACTCGTTGTCTTACACAATATAGTCTTACTCAAAGAAGACACACTACAAAAAAAAAAAGATGAGTTTGTGACAGGAAATTAGCGACAAGTCACAAAACAGATTACTAATTTTCAAAATTTGCAACGGTTTTAAGCAATTTAGCGAGGGTCCAAAAAATCGTTACTAAAATTCCTCAAAACGTTGTTTTTTGCAACAATCTGACCAAACCATCGCTAAATTCTGGATTTCAATTTTTTTTACACTTGGATCATATTTGAGTCGATTTTTCTAAAAAAAACCATTGCAAATATTCGGCTTAGTGATGGTTTTAATACCGTTGCAACAAAAATTATATTAAAAAAAATAAAAAACCTCAATTTGCTCGTAAAATTTCCAAATTAGTGACGGTCCAAAGACCATCACTAAAACGTTGCTAAAATCACAAAAAAAAAAAAAATTAAAACCAAGATTTGCAATGGTTTTTTTTGCAAAAAATCGTTGCAAAATACCACAATTAGCCATCGTCTATAGATCGTCGCTAACCGGTTGCTAAAATAAAAAATCAAAAAAGAAAATATTTTAAGTCTAATTTTTGCAATGGTTTATTCCAAAAAAAAATTGTTGCAAAATATCAAATTAGTGACGGTCTAGTAGATTGTGCTAAACCGATACTAAAATCAAACCGTTGGTGGAAAACGACTAATTTTCAAAATTTTAAAACTAAAACCGACAATTGGCGACATGTTTAGCAACGGTCCAATAGATCGTCACTAAACCTTAATCTTTAAAAGCTATCCCACCCAAAAAATTTTAGAATCAATTTTCTCTCTCCAACTTCTCTTCTTCTCCTTTGACAACAACTCCGATCTACCCGAATCAGCCATAAAATCTTCCCCCTCTCCCTTATTTTCCTTCCAATCTTTTCCTCTCTTTTCTCCTTCCCTTTCTCCCCTCCATCTCTCCCCCTTTCTTCCCTCTTTTCCTCCTCCTTTCTTTCTTTCTCTTCTCTTCCTCCACCGGTTGTTTTTTGGCAAAACAACTCCGATGAAGTCCTTCCACCGGTGCAGGCCCTCTCTCCTCCTTCTATTGGTTAAAGGTCCTCCCCCATCTAACCCCTCATTTTATTTTTGTATTTTTTCAATTATTTAGTTAATTAATATAATTTAAATATTTTTAATTTTTTAATTTAATTAATTATTATTGTTAATTGTATGTGTCGTTTTTTATATTAATTGGTGATTTAATTAATATTATTGTAATTTGTTAATTTAGATAGTTTATTTGTTAAAAATATTTATTTGGTATTAATTTGTGTTAATTGTGATAGTTTAAATATTTAATTGTTAACTTAATTTTAATTATTAATTATTGATTTAATTAATATTATTGTTAATTGTTAATTTAGTTCTTTCAATTGTTATAACTTATTGTTAATTGTAAGTGTATATATATGTTAGTTTTATTGTTATTGTTATTTTTAATTGTTGATTTAACTAATTTTATTGTTAATTGTTAATTTACCTAGTTTAATTTTTAATTTTATTATTTAGAAAATTAAATTGTTAT